TTTAAGCTGCTGCTATGTTTCAACAAGTATGCAGTAAGAGCTTCATACCATCTTCCTTGTTGATCACAGTAGACAAATGTACCAAGGTAAATTGCTAAATCAAGAGAGCTCTACAGATCATGTTACCGAGAGCACCTGCAATGTACTTAACATATTGCAGAATGGTTTGATTGATGGGACATAATTACATGGACTGACAAATATTTATTACTAAGGGAAATGTATGTGCCAGAAAGTATCAGTACCAGAGTGGCATAGGGGAGCAGAATTTTGCTAGTCTGTGGCATACTTGGCATAAATGAGGTTATATTCCTTTTTACACGTTCTGACAAGTTCAAATACTTTATTAGCTACATCTAGTTCGAAGTCCAATTGCTTGCTCTCTAAGTGGTGTTTCTCAGTAAGATCACATTGCACCAGTGTTGCCCTCCGTCCTGTCTGTCCTCTTTGGGCTACTGAAAGATTTCCTGAGAAGTTTGGTATGTTGGCTTCACTTACAATGCCTAAAATCACTGGGATCCTGAACGTTCTCCCTGCGTGTTGTTACCACAGTGTCACTTTCCAAGATCCTCAGGAAGAGAGCTCTCCAGTGGCTAAAATGCATAAATAGATCAAGAGAGTTGTCAAGAAAGTAATTCTTTGTTTCTGCTTGCTTTCCTTCCTTTAACCATAAGATTCTTTGGCTTTTTTATTACAGTAAATGGTTTCATTTTTATTTTCTTTTTTAATTTCTTAAGAATGCTACCTTCAATTTGTCCCTCCTATAATATGTAGCATGTATCCCAATGAGCACTGCCTTTGGTACTACTGAGACTCCTAATGAAGTTTTAGGGTCTGGTGGTGTTTAATCTGCCATAGTAGCAAGAGTTTAGTGATTTTTTTTCATCAGCATACTGCAATGCTCTAAATAGCAACGCTGACAGACACTGAAGTACGGATTTTAGACAAGGTTGTTTTAATATGTATCTTCTAAAATTTCATGGTCTCCTTTATCTGTTTGACAGATGTTTAGAGATGACACTTCTCTCAGTGGTTTTTTTCACCAATACAGCTAGATATATATTAACTGAACATACATATTTAAAAAGACAAGGACCCATGCTAAAAGTACAATATGGAACTAAAATCAGCCACTTCTAAATTAGAAAATGTCATTACTACAATGCTACATCTGCAGTATTCTATTACTACTTTCTTTACTAGACTGACACTGTTAGCAGCATAACGAATAAGTGCTCAGAGGAAGGTCTTGGGCACACGTTAGACTTTTCCTCATGGTTTAGCAGGGTCTCTGCATTCTTTTGCTCCAGGTATCAAGCAACATTTGAGTAACCGCTGATTTACAGGATGTTCTCTGCTCCCTTTCATCTCACCTCCACACAACATGCAGAAATGATCAGCACAGATCAGATACCTGGTATAAAAATTACCTAAGCTTTAGCTAAGCTCAGCATTGACTAAATTATTTAAAATAGAAAATGCTAAGCAACCTTGTCTTTGGGCATTGCTACCTTTTAACACCTATAATAAAAGGAGATTCAGATGCTAGAGACAGGTGTGTGCAATCAAATAAACATTATAACTAAAATAGCATGCTCATAGGGGTTTTCCCCTTTTTTATGATAGGCATTGTCCTCTGATGGAGGAACAGAGAAATGGGGTTGTTTCTTTGCTTATATTTGTTCTGCTTTTTTTTTCCATATTAACATAAATGATTATTTTCTAGGAAATATAAGCAACATCTAGAGAACAGTAGCGTGGGTTTGTTATAAAACGGAGGTGCTTCTTCCAGTTACTGATAGGGCTTCTTTTGGAAAGCCCCTTTCATTGTATTTGAAATCAAAACACACAAAGTATGAAATTAATGCATTCAGTTAAAAATGCATGCAGATTGAAACATTCCTATTAAACACAACCTCCTCACCCTTTTCATTGCTGCTGCTTTTATTACAGACTTGTAATAGCATTGTGTGATGTAATAGCCTTTCCAAGAAGCCAGCAGCAACAATAAGCACTTTGCACTTCCTATCCTTTTGAATTTCTGGTTCAATCAAGAATGAATTTAAGACTGTGAAGTTCTGAGAAGGATGGCAGCTGGGAAGCCTGGTTTCACTTTGGACATACAACATTGGATTCTTTCTTCTCAGCAGCTCTGGTCTCCAGTGTTACTAGAATTTTTCCTCTTTATCCAAGTCATCTCCTTCCATGAAACTTTGTAAAACTTTATGACATTGCATCCTCAACCAAACTTAATTTAAATTATCCAATGGGTTGAAAATTATTGACACCATTGATTAAAAAGGAACTGACAAACCTGTATGTACAAAATGCTCAGTATGCTCATTTCAGTCTTATTTTTTCTGGAAAACAGGCCGGAAAACTCTCCCTGTTTCCAGTCCTGGGAAAGTCTTTCACAAGCAATCTTTTGTACTCAAATACTTAGTTTTTGTATCGGATATGTTGACCTCAGCAGTATAACTTACAGAGGCTAAAACTTTCCAGCTATGTCTTGTGTTGGTTCCTGTTCTTTTGCTAGAACTTAGATAAGAGGTGTTCAGGAAAAAAAAAAAAGGAAAAAGAAAAAAGAAAATAGTCAAACAGCTCACAAATTGCCTTGACTACTGCGTCATTTGAAACCACACTCATAAATTGGAAGAATTACTAATGGCATATTATTAAACAAGATTGAGACATGTTCTAGCCCATTATTTAATCAGACAAAACAAGAATGTGATATTTGGACATTCAAGTGCTTGGCTGTCTCTAGACATACCTAGCATGGTCCCCTTTTATAGCTTAGAGAGCTTAGAAACTGAGAAATAACCTTACAGAGTGAAGAAAGAATGTTGGACTTATATGCCAAAGACACAGTGTACAGTGTTCTGAAAATGCCTGGTTTTTTTGTGGTGGTATTCTGGAGAAAGAAATAGATGCAGTGAGTTGAAAAGAAACACGTTACAGCTGTGAGTTAAAGAGATATTTACATCATCCCAGGGTCCCTGTGGAATGTCCTCATCTTTGGTGCTCTGTTGTGATGGCAGTGAGGTAGCTGTGGGTCTTTAATAAAATAGTCAATTATCCAACTTTCAATCTTTTCTCATTTCTTTTGTTTTTCTTTTTCTTTTTGCTGATAAGGGTGAGAAGCAAAAAACCATGGGTGTGAGAATTCAAATTCTCATTATTTTCCTGAGCACCTCAGAGAAGTTTTCAAGGCAGTCTGCCCTGTTTTGAAGTGGCTAACTTTTACTTTTGACAAAACTTTTAGAGCAGATAAGAAAGCTTCATGGCATCTTAAACCAACTGAAATCTTTCCAGGCACCAGAGTCAAAAAATATTATGCCAAGTATAAATGAAAGTGAATGAAATTATGAGTAGCAGTCTAAGGAATTATTGTCATCAATCAGGAATTGTTTCCAAGTGCGATTGGAGGAAAGAAGAATTCTCAAGAGGATGGTCTGCAGTATATTAGTGTCTAAACAGCAGCGTGTAAAGCCTGAACCTTTGCGGAGTCACCCTGGTTGATTTTGAGTTTTGACACACTCATCCAAACAGGATTAAAATGACTGTACTGAAAAAAAAGAGCATTTCTTACTGGGAACTCTCTTGAGGCTTGGTTGCAGCTCTTGAGATTGTGGCGGATGGATGGGGCAGGGCTTGGACTCATGCCTGGCCAAGGCGTTGGGGTGGTGAAGTGCTCTGTGAGGGCAGCCTAGATGACTCAGGAGCCTGTGTTTCTGCACAGCCAGCCGCGTACCTCGGATGACAACCTTGATACATGCAACCACCTCGCAGAAACCCGACAGCTCTGGGACCAGTGATTGACGCGGTTTTGTTTTGTTCTTTTTTTACTTTTCTTTTTTGGGCAACCCCCCTCCCTCTTCCTTCTAAATTGTTTTTTCAGCTTGCTTGAGTCTCAAAGACTGTCTCCTGCTTGTCTTGAACAGCTGGAATGGCTCTGGATTGAATGAAGAGACACGGAACAAGACTGTTCTGGACCCTGGGAGGATCTCAACCTTCAGGAGGATCAACCTGACTGTCTAACCTGTGATGGTGGGAGCTAGGGAGATTTAACACCACTGCAGATGGCTGCCTGCAGCCTGGCACGAGGACTGTGGCTTCTGCTGCTTCTGCAGGATATCCAGACAGCCTCGCAGGTAAGGCAGGATCCTTCAGCCCCACAGGTAAGACAGGGTTGCGCCAGGATCCTTCAGCCCCACAGGTAAGACAGGATCGCGCCAGGATCCTTCAGCCCCACAGGTAAGACAGGATCGCACCAGGATCCTTCACCCCCACAGGTAAGACAGTATTGCACCAGGATCCTTCAGCCCCACAGGTAAGTGGGCTGGGTGCCAGGTAATGGGCATCCACATAAACTGGCTTTGTGCAGCACAGGGTCATAAAGGTATAAAGCAAAGCTCTCAGGAGATGCAGGTAGAAAAGAGAGCAGTTAGGAGAGTTTACCTTCTCTGGGAACTTTGCAGGCAGGAGCAGGGGATACAAACTATGATCTGCATCTTTTTGTTGGCATTGCTAGTGTTAGTGTACCTCCAGGTGTATCAAAGCTAGGGAATGAGGAAAGATTTGATGGGGTGAGGCACTGTTTTTGTTTGTGTGGGTGAGTGGCTTTTATTTTTGCCTGGATGGCCAGGTGCTGGCTGACAGACATGTTCCTTGTGGAGCTTGGTTTGGAGGGCTTCTCCACTCTGCTGGTTGTCAGTCAGGGCGGGCAAATTGAAAGGTGCAACAGCAAACAAAACAATAAAGTATCTTCCTCTTTACAGCCGTCTACCCCTCTGACACTGACTTCCTCATGAATGGGCTATTATTTCTGTATCAAATTGACTTAAAATAGACATAGCCCACGAATGGCACTCAGCTGATGCTGTAGATGCAAGCTAGCTCCCTGCTCAGATCGTATCATTTCTTGTGGGTTTGCTTCTCCCTCCCCGCCACTTACCCCCTCCTCCCTAGTGGATCACGTGGCAGCGAGCCCTCAGCACCTGGCATAAATCCAGGTAGTTTCCCTGGCTGACGCTTATGCACGCACACACAAAAAAGTTCAGTCGCAGAGGCTCTTTGCACAGGTAAAGTCAAGTGGGTGAGTAATTGCACACTGTTGGGTTGTGAAATTGGCTGTTTTCCCTTGCAGTGGAAACACGAGCATATACTAGCCTAAGACACCCCTCTGTGCATTGTAAATTAATGATATAGCACATCACTTGGGCTATCAGATTTTTATGAAGAAACTCACTTCGATGAGATCTTTGAAAATAACCAAGTTCTGCGACCTCTTCATAGACATTTGAAAGAGATCCTCCTGGCTCTTTTATTAAGAGTAGGAGTTTGCCTTTGTGTCTTTAGTTGTAAATTCCCCTCCCACATTGCAAACTTGCTCTGTTTAGCTCTGCCTATCTGTCCTGCCACTGTCTCTTCTCTGAAATCAAGACGGATCACTGTTCTTCTGTAGGATTGGAGTCTGTAGTCCTTACCTACCTGAGGAGATCATTCAGACAAGCTTGCCTGGTCTGCTGAATGCAGGCTGCTTTAGGAGAAAGGCAATAGAAAAAAGATGGGATTTTTTTTATTCGACATCACTTTTAGTCATTTGTTCACAAAATGAATGGGGCAGAGAGGAAATCTGGTTTTCTGATACTCACTGTCAACATTCAGACTCACTGCAAAATCATCAGTAACCTGAAATAAATATGTGGATCTTGATAAGATAAGCAATTGGCTTTTCACTGTCTTTCTGTCTTGCCTCTATCACAGCAAACTTTGCTTTTACTGCTACTGGATAGAAGAGATACTGTTTAATGTGAGCAAGTCACAACTTCTTGGTCATGTTTAAAACCATATTCCACCTCACTCGAGTCCACAGTTTGTGTTTTGTTTGTTTTAATATTCAGTTAACTCTCCCTTGCTAATAATGACTTTACTGTCAAGCAGATGAAACTTGACTACTTGAACTCTTAGATTATCAGCTTTTTCTGTACTGTCAGAATTTGGATAGAAGCTTGAAAGGGAGTCAACTGTTTTGCTACAGTATTAGTCACTTCTAGAATAGCCAATGCTGGTAGAAGAATTTTTTTTTACCGTAATGTGCTTTCTTCCTGACTTACAGCTCATTTGTAGCAAGCTGATTTCTTACTCTGCCTCACCATCACTTTTTCTCTATGAGCTCAAAAGACCATAAATAAATGAGTCAAACCTTGTCCTGACTGAATTGCAGAGTAACCCGCTGAATTCAGCACCATCTTTACAATTGCCATTATTTAAATTGGAATAGAAGACCTACTCCACCATAGCTGGATTCCTTGTGCCCATCCACCAGTACTGCTGTGATCTTCCTTGACTTTTAAAGAGTTTTTTTATAATATGTATTAATGAACAGAACTGTAAGTGTAGATGGACAATACTATATGTCATTGGGATAAAACTTTTATTTCTTTATTGAGACTGGATTATTGAGGGGTCAGGGAAGTGTAAAATGTCTCCTTCTCTTTTCTTCAGGAAACACTAGGAAATGATGCCTTAAAAAGTGAAGTTTTGCTAGAATTTTGAATTTGCCTGACAACACTTGAGTTCTGTATCTGTCTATCTTGAGTGGATAAGGAGGAGGGACAGTCAAAAGATGAAACGGAAAAATACTTTGAATGTTAAACAGGATTTTGAGGTTACTGCATTTCATTCTGTTCCTTGCAGAGATGAGAAGAGTTTGTTCTGTAAAACTTACTGGAGATTTCCTTGATGAAGAAAAGCCACATGCTGGCTGCTGCTGAGTTTGGCTCATACAAATCTCTTCAGTGTTTCTAGGCATTCCAAGAAAAAGAGGGGGAAATGGGGCAAAAGTGAAAGTTCTTACACACAAATCCTTCCCTACAAAACAAGAAGTAAGAGGCAAAAATGATGAAGTGAGTCTTCTCTCACTGGATACTTGTCAATTTTTGTAAGCATACTGGAGCCAGGAGAAATGGCCAACACTCTAAGTGGGGAATTTCCTAGCACTTTCCTTTTTGTGGGCCTCTACACACAGGCACCACGGAATCAAGAAGGTGAATGCCCCACACCAACACTCACAGCTGATGCTTTTTTGTAAGAAGGTGATAGCATTGTGGTTTTGTAATGTGAGACTGAAACTTTTTTTCTGTCTCCTTTGCTTTATCCCTTCCTTTCATTTCAAGAGCTATTTATGAGCAACTGAGACCTGCTAAGTCAAACCTCAACCTTCAGCTTCTGCCTAGCAAATAGTCTTAATTTAAATAAAGGGGTTTTATTCTGGAAAAAAATAGTTTTATTAGTGATTTTCACACAGTCCTGAGTCAAAGTAATCAAGTTAATATTTTTTTCTGAGACGGGGTTAAATTTCTACTGTCGTCCTAGAACATATTAAAAAAGGATTCTTTGACTTAAGTTCATGCTAACAAATGGGGTAGTGGTCCATAGCACACTTTCAATCTTTTGTAGTTAAACTTTGTGTCTTATTCAGCATTTTATAATGCTTGGTGTTGTCCAAGCACTCACAACCAGAAATACATTAGAAATGTGTTAATGCTGAGATTTTTGTTGGTGGTGAGAGCAGTAAGAGCACGTATGCTTGTCCTTCCTGCTGTGTTGTTCTTGAGTCTTCATATGATAAAGTATCACTTTTTAACTTAGTTTTTCCCTTTACTCCTCAGTGCTTTTGTGAATTCCTCTCTTCTTTTTAGGTGATCCTTGATCTGATTAAGGCTTGACAGGAGGGACATTTTCTTTAAAAGCTTCCATTGTTGGCTACCATCATCTGAGTCACAGTACCGGAAACCCAGTACGTAGCAGGCTCCTACAGTTGCAGCCGTTGGTAATGCAGCTCAAACCAGTATGTATCTGTGCTGGGGAGATCAATGCTGCTACTGTTGGTGGGAATTTTTCTCAGAATTTCCCTCATCTAAACAGGATCATTCTGTGCTGTCACCAGATTCTTTGTAGCCACAGTGAAAGAAGACAGCTAGCTTTTCCCCTGCCTATTTTGATTACAAACAGCATATGATGTCCTCCTGAGTAAACTGCTTACCCAAATTTTTGTGTGGAATGATGCTTTTATGTTTCACTGAAAAAGAGAATGTAAACTGTAAGTTCTGCTTTAGCAGACTGACCTATTCTGATAGCAGTTGTCCTCCCTTAGCAGTTGAACTGGAAGTGTTGGCAGGATAAGAAGTTTTTACAGCACCATTGTTGACAGTTTGGACAAAGTTTGGTAAAAGCAAGAAAATCTATAAAGTTGAGGACCCTGTGGAACTGGAGGAACAGTTTGTCCTTTATGCCCTACAGAGCCTGTCTGGAGTTCTCTGGTGCCACCACCATAAAAATACCCTTAATTGTAGGTAGACACTGGACCCACTGCAGCGAGGACTTCAAAGTAACACATCTAAGGCGGGACAGGAACGGAACCACGAACCTTGAACATTAAGCCACAGGGCCTTTTTCAGCCCTGTGGTGGCCTCACCGTCACATTGCTGCGGGTTTATACAAGGTTGAGCCTGGAGGTCCAAGCCCAGTACTGAACTATTCAAACAATAGGAGTTCACCCAGGTCATTTTGATATTCACCAGGTGAGGATTTCTACTGTTAAAAAGAAGTAGCCAACAGCCGAGGATCAAAAATACCCTAAATGCTTCAATCCTATCACTTGGAGTGTTATTGTACATAGAGATCTAAGATGATGGTCAAACCAAGAGAATGCATAAGGTATCTTTCCAGGAGCTCTGAGTCTTGAAAGAGTGGGACTGGAAAGTTTGTAATCTAGAATTCCTTGTGTTTCTTGGTGAATTTTTTCCACCGATCTCTTCCTAATTAGAAATACTGAGCTCATCAAAATAAAAGGTCAAACAAGCCAATATTTTATTGCAACCTTTCACCCTAATTTCCTGAGATGTTAGACATGGCATTTTACATGTGGGAAGAGCAGTTACAGGTGGTGAAACAGGTAATTCACATGTTCAGTCACCGAGTGGGTAAATTACCTCAGTTCAGGCCTGTTGCTACCCAATAATAATGCACATTTTAACTTCATATTATTCATTAGGAATCAAGCAGCTTTAGGATTTAGAGGAGGAAAAAATGCCAAAAATGGGGAGATGATGACTGATGCTGAACATTGCTGTGTACATTATTTATCACTGAAAGGATATATAGATAGTTTCTTGCTCATGGAACACCTCTACTGAACAGGTGGCAGCTCTTACAGACATTTTGCAGGTAGCTATGGGTTGGAAGTGATGGGGTCTTCAGGAGATGGTTTCTCAGTCATAGAAATTGTGTCATGATTTGTTAAAATGACTTATTTTTACAGCAGAGCACCTTGGGCTAGTCTCGGTAAACAGTAAAGGTGGCTACAAAGCTGTGCTTATAACTGGATACCCGAAGGCAGCAGATGTCATGTATTATGTAGCTGGCTGTAGTATATAGCTGCCCTCTTGTGGAAAGGAAAAATTAGAGGTTGAATACTCTCTGAACAGTCTCTTTTGAATGTATGTTTTCATAGTTTGTGTAGTATGTATGTATAGTTCATGCGGTAACTTATCATAGAACTAGCATCAGGTCAAATTCATAATCAGAATTTGCATTGCTGTGTCTAAGAACAGAATCCAATCCTAAACTCCTGACTTCAATATTTTAGACAAGGTAACTTTTTAAGAAGCAGCCCTTCCCTCACACTTTTACACAGCCGCTATTCCTTGATTTAAACCCCAAAAGAGACAATTAAATAAGCTGTAAGCTTATGTGCTGCGTGTATCAATCAAGACTTTTGTTTCTGCACCCCAGTTTAAAATTCAACATCATTTGCAGTCACAGTTGGTTGCCCAGGAGAACCTGGAAGAGAAGATCAGGTTGTTGTGGTGACTTCTTATATCTCTTACAGGGAAATTAATCCAGGATTATTTAGCTAGGATGCTGCTGTTTCTTAAATTTTCTTTATAAAACTAGTTTAATCATTTCATATCACTGGACTGACTGCTGAATGACCCTTTGTCTAGTGACTGGTCTTGTGTAGTTTCCTGTTATTCAGTTTAGTCTCAGGGTGCCTGGCTAAGCGGGGTGCTTCTCCATGCAGATGCAAGGAGATTCCACTTCCTTTTCCCCAAGTCCAGGGCCTCCTCTTCAGAAAAGAAAAATAGGAGGTGCACATTTGTAAACTTTAGGTGAGTTAGGCTGAGTGAGCAGCCATCTGCTATTTCCCCTCTACAGTAAGCTAGAGAAAATGCTTTGTAGGGAGGCTGTGTGGCCCAGTGGTTGGTGCAGAAATGTGTTAGGCAAGACTTCTCAGTTCTGTTAGTGGAGCTTGCTTCAGTTTAATGGTTTCAATATGTTTCTCTTTCTTGTCCTTTTGTTAATTTCCTCTCTGACTGAAAGTTCCTATTTTCTGATGTGACCTGGGGCAAGTTAAATAAGCTCTGTGTTTTATGGTCCTGCCATGAAAAGAACAGTATATTAAACAGGAGAATACAGCTGTGAAATCAGTTAGGCAGTAAGATTCTGTACTGCGTACTAAGGCAGTAGGAAACTATAGGTATTATTTCAAAGGCCAGTGGGAAATTCATCTGCAGAAAGTGAGATGCAGTTTTTCTGAAATACTTAACTGCTCTACCAGTATCATGTGAGAAAATCTCGGGGCAATCTGCTGATTCAGTCTTTACCAAAAAATGACATTTTTACCTTCTAGCAAATATTGAAAATGAAATTCAGATAACAGCATTTTTAGGGGATTATTAAGGGAGATGCCAAATCAGAAAAATCAGATTTTCTCATCAGAAAACTTGTAGTGCTGTAATTTCCAGATCATGTATTGGCCCTGCCATACGAAAAACCGAAGTCTTGTTCTATGCTTCGTGATACAATTCATAGCCGAGTCTCCTTTTCTAAGCTAGTATTAGCACTGTTGTGTGGGGGTCTTTTTAACTAAACAAATTATCAGTCATGTAGTCAAGGTTATTCCTGAAAACGTTCACTCACAATAGAAGTGGGATTAGTTATTTGAATAAGGGCTTCACTGTATGAGTATTTACGATGTTCTTTTCAAGACAAAAACCTCTTGTTCCCAGTGTAGGATTTGTCCCTGAATAAGTAAAGCAATTTATTGGTTCATAGAGTCATAGAATTGTTAGGGTTGGAAAAGACCTTTAAGATCATCAAGTCCAAGAGATATAGCAAACACAGCTTTAGGTTGCTAAATTTAAGCATTAGAACTGCATAAATAACTGAGCAGAAAGACTTCTTTGCTGCAAACAAGAATTGTCTTTGCGGATTACAGCCAATCCAGCTAGACTTAGATGATCTTTACTATGACACCACCTCTTATTCCATTGCACACAGAGCTGGAAATCTGTTACAGATGTTAGGGATTTTTTTAAAAAAATATTTTCAAAAAATCTTTATCTCAAATTAACGTGGCATCATTTCAGGACAGCAATATTTAGCCTTTTTTTTATTCGCTAACTGCTACGAGATTTCTAAAGGAGATGCAGATTGGTAGACAAGCTTTTCTTAGTGATCTTAGTGGTCCTGCAGCTAGGTTTCAGCATTGGCTGAAGAACCTTTTTTGTGGGACAATGCCACTACTCTTTTTATTGTATGACACGAAGTGTTAGCTTCTGAGCATTGTAATGCTTGGTACACAAGTTGGGCCATAGTTTTCCTATGTTTAAATTACTTCCAGGTTGAAGACCCTGCTGAGCAAAGATACATATTGAATTATTGCTGAGTACACTGAATATTGCAATCTTTGCTTAAGCATATGGGCAACAGTAATTAAGTTTCTTTGGGGATACTTGATCTTTGAAAAAGCTGCGGGCTTTTCCTTACCATCTGCAACTACCACCACTTGAGACTGATGCCAGGATCTGCTTTAATACAGAACTAATTGTTTTCTAATTATGTCTTTTGTCTGATTCAATTTCTAGAAATCATTAACCTCATTCCATTCCTGTGATACATTTGAGAATTGGTTCTATGATGAAACTTCACGAAGCTGCTGTTACCAGTGTCCCTCAGGTCAGTATGTTTATAATTCAGTCAAATTAGCATGGAGCCTTTCTTGAAGATATAGTAGGAACCATGTCTATCTGCAGAATTGTGTTTTGTTCCCGAGGAAAAGTGGAATTTCATTAAATGCTACCTAGTGTGGATCCTGCTCCTTTTCAGTCTGCATGCAGACAATCTGTAAATTGCAAACAAGACAACTTGCTAGAATTTTTAATGTGTGTTTTTTTCGGTTGACTTGATACTCCGAAGTAGCTAGAAGTAGGCATGTCTAAGAATTCATTTCAACTTGCCTCAGGGTATGAAACAGCACAGTGAAATTAGGGTAAATAAGTTTCTGATCGGAGGCAAAAAATATAAAATGAAGGTGTAGAAAATCTGTCATTATCCTCACAGTCAAAACAGCTTAGAAAGTGACCCACAAGAGACAAGGAACAGCCCCTTGTTGGGGGACACAGTGAGCTTTGCCAGAAGCTAGGTGTGACTCAGAGACACATGTGAGGTCAGAAGCAGGAAACACCTTGGTGTGAGACAACAGTTCTGGAAGTGTCTGAAACACCCCCTATTGGCCAAAAAACCACTCAGTGGGTGGGGCATTTTATGGTACTTCACCATCATCGATCTCTTCTAGTAATGTTTTCTATTTCGAAAGGAAATTTTTGACATTTATTTGTGTTCTAATAATAAAGAGGGGTTTAGTGCTTGGTGGCTAGCATTTGCATGCAGTTACATCAGGGTTCCCACTGAGACATCTTGTACTGCTGGCTGCACCACTAAAATCATTCAGAAGTTGTATAAGCAAACAAGACCAAGGGATGGAGAAACTGGTCCTGTAAAAGAAGAAAAGGGACAGGGATCTGACCCTGAACCAGTCCCAAGAAAAGCTCTTTTCACTTTCAAAACCATACTTTGCAAAGGCTCCCATAATGCCATGTGTCATAGTGAGGTCTTGCGAAAAGCAGAGATCCGATTTCCATCTGGCTGTAATGTGCCACCAGTCTCAATCATTTCACTTCTGCTTAGTCTTGAAACTCATTTTGTTGCTACATCCTTATGTCAGTCTTGGACATTTCTTCACATCCTCCAGGGCTCTTTCACAACTCCTAAGGATCCTTTTCCATTTCAATCTTCCAATACTGCTTCAAGTAATAAATTGTTCACATCAGCTACTAACTTGGCTGCTCACTGCAAAGAAAGAGAAGTTTTTCTAAAATCCCATCTAATCAAAGTGGAGCATCTTGAACTTTTAGTGCATCCTGGCTTTACTTTCCTTGATGTTGCAGCCCACAGTTGCACAGCTTTCCATCTGAGCACACTGGCCCACATGCAAGCCATCCTGTTTCAGTGTTAGTTACAAGTTCAATTTCAAGATAAACTTCAAACCAAACCTCAAAAAATCATTCTAATCGATTTCTAAAGTTGTCACATCTCTTCTCATGTACTTAATTCTTGCACAGGTAAAAAGAGACTTCATACCTAGGTTACCAGAAGAATATTTTCTTTCTGTCATTACAGAAAAAAAATATTTCCCTCCTGTCAAGGGGAAGAACAGAGACTTTAATGGGAAATAATGGTATATGCTAGAACAGCACATGTTATGCAGAAGTTGGTATTCCATTTAACTTCTGTTTATTCTGTTTATTCTTTTACCTTTTTTTTTGGTTGGTTTTTTTTGTTTTACACTCCAAATCAGATATCCAGCTCCACAAGATAGTGCTGCAGTCAATAGTCCAGGTAATTCCACATGCACAGTTAACAGCAAATCCTCAGAAGTTAATGCATGCACATAATCACAACAGAAAAACACTTAAAATGCTTATTTAATCTACTTAATTTCAGCACATTTTTCTGCACAGGTGATTGCAGCTCGTATTCCTACTTCTTAGGCTTTTACCTGGTTGTTGAGCTGTGAACACAGTCAATGGAGAACGGCACCAGAAGACACTATTAGACAAGCTTCAAAGCTACTGCACCTAGGGCACACATCCCCCAAGAGAGGGACCCATGTGTACAGAAAATCTCAAATAACTGAAGTCAAAGCTTTTGGGCCGTTGAGTGAGGAAGGAGAAAATGACACACATGTGCAGGTACACGCGTGCAGCTTGAGTGCTGAGGTTCAGCAATCAGCCCCCACCTTGAAAAGAATAGTCTCAGACAAGTAGTTTTGAGGAGGTGGAAATGACGTGGTTCAGGCTTGTCTGGTGGTATTTAGTGGGCCAAATATAGTACAGCTGTTTTTGTCTGTGCTCCTACATAGTGGTTGCTAAAATGCATAGTAGGGCAGTTGTATCCCTGCCAGGTTCCCCCTCCCTGTGGTTAGCTCTTTGTGATTGGGTGACACAGGCTGGATGCTGAAACTGGGATTCATTTCTTTCCTTCTGTTTTTCACCTGTGGAACATACAACTCTGCCTAACTTTATGTTTCTGCTTTACCTTTTCCTTCTGCAACTGCTGCTGTTCCTTATCCTCTGGTAATTATTTCTACCTCCTGGCAATTCTGAACATGAGAGATGGGGTGGTTGCTGTGTGGAATCCCTGTGCACTTAGAAAATTCTGGCAGCTTTTGAAAAAAAAAAGTGATGCCTTATGTCTGGAAACGTAGTAATGGCAGGACAATATTGCCCTCACTGCAGACTTGGAGGTCTTTTCTGTCAGCACATGACTCGCCATGTGCCCAGTCTGTATCCATCCATACTGAGTGTGGTGGCACTGTGCATGGTGTTGGTGTAACAGGACAGCTGGGATCCCTTTACATTTGAATGGGAAAGGCAAAAATGTGCTAGAGAAACCAAATGACAGGTACAAAGAGAAGATTGTGGTAGTGTGTCTAACAGGTAAATGAGCACACAAGAACACTTCAAGATGGTTGTCTGCTGTGATTCTGAACAGGTATCCTGAGTATTTTTCTTTTCTTTCTCCAGGCTATGTTAAAAAGAAAGCATGTCCTAGGGACCCAGATGAAGACTGCATGAGGTGTGGACCTGAACAATATGTGAATGAAGTATTCAGAAAGCCACAATGTTTCGCATGTGTATCATGCGCAAAAGGTTTACTTTCCCTCACACATACCTCACAGTTATATTCTCTCTCTATGTTTTATTTATACTTTATTTATATTTTATTCATTTAGAATTTCCAGCAGCAAAACTATCCATCCTTGGTTACTGATTTAGAGAGCAGAATGCATGTAATCAGTATCGCTTCCTGTGTGACCTGAGACAACCTAAAAATTCTCTCATCCAATGCTATCCAAGTCTCATTTCTGCTTTCTGTCTTGTATTACAAGCCATTGTCTACAGCCTTCTTCATGACTTAAGTTGCCATTGCAAAGAGTGCCAGCAGCCTGTTTTACTTCCTGAGCCTTTGTACCGATATTGCTCAGCTTTGGCCCCTGCTTTGCATTTTCCTTGCAGAGTGATTCTCTGTTACCTCATCTGTTTCTTCCCCACAGAATTTGACCTTGTGGAGACAAAGCCCTGCTCCTTCAATTCTAGCCGTGTGTGTGAGTGCCGCCCAGGCCTGTTCTGTCAAACCCCTGTTGATAACTCCTGCAGTCGATGCCAGCGGCACACTGTTTGCAAGCCTGGTTTTGGAGTCAAAGTCAGAGGTAGGAACTCCAATCTGCCTAGCTAGACCTTGCCTGATCTTGGCCCTAGGCCTGTATCTGATGGATTTTGGTTGGTCAGTCCTCAGGCATTATTTTTATTCAGGCACGTCAACAACTGATGTCACTTGTGAAAAGTGCCCTGCTGGGACCTTCTCTGATCAAAACTCCAGTACGGACATCTGCAAGCCTCACACGAAGTAAGTCCGTAGTTCTTTAAAGTGACTGATTAATTAAAGTTGATAAAAGACGAAAAGGGACTCCTGTCACTTCTGGTTCAAAGTATACAGATTTATCTTAGCAGCAATGAGATAGCTTTGGGCCTATGTGCAGAGTTTAGAAGGCCTCTCTTTACACCTGTTGCACAGCTCTGTACTGGAGGAAGGAAGGAATCCCTCTTTCCTCATTTTTAGTTTACCAAGTGAAGTGGAATTGTACACACGTGTGAGTATCAGCTTTGCATCCAGGTCAAGCATTAATGCCACAGGGGTGAGAAGAAGGTTAATTACTTCTTCACTGAAAGCAGTAAGTGCAGGTGGTACAGAAGTGACCAAAGGGATGTTTGTCACATGGAAAATACGCTCATCTTCTACCATGGCAGTTTCCTCTGGTGCTGATACACTGTTCTATTTCATTCCCTAGCTGTTCTGAGTTAAACAAAGTAGCACTAAGCAAAGGAAATGCCACACACGATCAGGTTTGCCTGGACCAATTGCCCACCCACCTTACCCCACACACTTCGTCCGGGAGATTCAGTGATGAAACAAGTAACTCTGACCTTCTTCTTGAGAAGAACCTGGCCACCATGGCTAGTATCATTTTAAGTGTCGCAACAACTGAAAGCCCCAGTCTGACCGACGCTTCTCCTACCTCAGCCAAGGAGGAGACAGCAACAGAAGGTAACAAAGATAAAGCATTTACTCAGTCTAGCATGTTTTATTTAGATTTATCTTTGGTAAATGCAATTTTTATGTGGGAGCTTCCTGCAAATCCTCTATGACTTGTGAAATGGTGTCCATGGTTCTGTGTCCAAACACATAGATCTACTAATAGTTCCCTTTCTGCCTTTTCTTAGCCTTTCTTGTACTCTTTTTCCTCTTCTGTGCTACATTTCTAGTTCTCTGGGGAGTGCTTCTCTCTGTGATGGTGCTACTCATGGGAGTGCTGTTATTTTGGAAATGGAAGATTTGCAAGAAGCAGATCCTTATCCTCAAAAGAAAGCGTGAGTTTTTAAAGCTGTAAAACATAGCAAGCTGGTTGATCTTCAAGTGTGTGCCAACTGGGAACCCAAATATCCCAAAATTTTGTGGAATTCACTGGGGAAGAGCATGTTCAGTACTGCCTGGGAGGTGGGTCAGATGAGGGTTCTAGGCAAACTGCTCATGAAGTGTGTTGGAGAGCATGAGAGAAAGATTGAAGCAGTGGTGAATTTATAGATGAGCATACTACAAGCTGTGTGGGGAAAGGGTAACCTGTGATTTCTTCTCTCAGCACAGACACTAATATTAAATGATACCTGAAGCACTTTGTGAGTGTTTATTGGTTCCTGCGATAGGGTTGGACTCTGAGCAAGAGAGGAGGAGTAATTACTGATACTGCCTCTCAGTAGCTTTGGCCACTGCTACATCAGAGTGGGGTGTGCCTGCGGAACCACATTCCCTCTGTTGTAGAAAGCAGGATGTGCACGTTGTAGGTTGGTTGTAGACCTGTGGGTGTGGTAAAGCTGTTACAGCCTGTACACTCTGTGATGAGTTGTGCTAAATGAGTGGTTTCTTTTACAGCACATCTGCATTTCATCACTTCACACACATCTGGACTCGCATCTCAAGGTGAGTGACTGATGGACCAGGAATTGTAACACATATGTCTAAAGAGTAAGTGTATCGTTTTAATACGAAACTTTATTTGATGGAGTTTTAATTTAAAACGTGAAACTTTTTCGTGTCAAACACACGTCTATTGCCATGCAGGCCAGCCCTGCTGTCTGCCCCGCGTGGGCCACTAGGGGGCGCTGGCGTCCCGCCGCCCCGGCCCGCGGGCACAGCGCCCGGGTGAGTGCTGAGTACTCAGTGTGGGAGATGTGTTCCAGAAAAAGTGGGTGTTAGCCATAGCAACCTGCACAGATCCCAACAGTACACGCATTTTGCCCAATTAACTAATCCTCTCTCAGCGCTTCCATTTCCATTGGCTGAACTGTTATGTTAGATTCCCCTAATCACCGTGCATCAGAGCTTTTTATACTCGTTTACTCAGGAATGTGATATAAAACCTCTTGTATGAAGTTTAATTTTCTCAAAATGGTATTTTTACTTCCTTGCCTGCTTTACTGTATAGAAACTGTTAGTGCGCAGCATTACAGAGCTGATGCATTGAAAATAAAGGTGGCTCCATCTCAGGGTGAAATTAAGATAGTAGGCCTGAGCCTGTCTAGCTTCACAGTGCTGCAGTAGGATGCTGTACAGTCGCTTCTTGAAAGAGTCCAGCAGAGCCACAAAGATGATTGAAAGAGTGGAGTATCTCCTGATAAGGAGCAGCTGAGGGAGCTGGGTCTCTGTAGCTTGGAGCAGAGGAGCCTGAGGGGCAACCTCATTAATGTTTATAAATTTGTAAAGGGCGAGTGTCAGGAGGAAGGGGCCAGGCTCTTCTCAGTGATGTCCAGTGACAGAACAAGGGGCAATGGGTGCAAGCTGGAGCATAGGAGGTTCAACCTGAACGTGAGGAAAAACTTTTTCACTGTGAGGGTGACAGAGCACTGGAACAGGCTGCCCAGAGAGGCTGTGGAGTCTCCTTCTCTGGAGACATTCAAAACCCGCCTGGACACGTTCCTGTGTGACCTGGTTTGGGTGATCCTGCTCTGGCAGGGGTTAAACTGGATGAACTTTTGAGGTCCCTTCCAACTCCTGAGATTCTGTGATTCTGTGTGATTCTTTCCACCTCTCTTCTTTCCCCAGTGTTGCCTTTCTCTGCCCTTCTATGAAATACCATCCCTTTAATATTCATCTGTCTACATGAACTGATCCAACTTGTTAATCCAGTAGAAAGTTATTAAATTTTACTTTACTTTTTTTTTTTAAATAAGCCCCTCATCTGCTTATCTAGAGAGTTTAATCAGTTCATCATTTCATTAGATGAGTACCAGCTGTGGTGTGGGGAGGGTGCTAGGCATGGCCACAAAGGGCTTTGGGGGGAGCAGGACCTCACAGTCTTGGCAGCAACATGTTGCTGGTTCACCTCTGCCATGTAATGTAAGTGTGCCATCAGTGGTAAAGAAAGCATGATGCTTTGGGGTGGGCAGTGGAAAAGTTTAGGACATGGCTAGGTGACATTTCTGAGCAAATATTAACATTCTTGTGATTTATGTGAATTTTCTTCTGATATTTATTCCTATTTCTATTGCAGGTCCTGATCCAGTGAACGAAAGTGAAGTAAGTGTGATCAATATTCCAAAACAAATCACTTTCCATTCCAATGTAAATATTATTTTTAAATGTCTTGTTAAAGAGCACCAGCCCTTTTTATTTTCTGGACTTCCCTTTGTGATGCCGACTCTAGGTGCAGCAACAAGATGTGCTAGGTGTTGCTACTTTTGTATCTTAGGCTATGTTTAACTGTAGTGTTAAATAATGTGATGCTGCCAATCTTGCTTGTGAAGGGAGTATTTGCTTTGGTCTTGTGCCATTTATGTTGCACTCTTACGTCACAAGATCCAAAATCACAGGACGAAAATGCCTTTTCTACCTCTGGGGAGAACTTTGTCAGACCCATTTTATCTTACTGCTCCACTCACACAAATAGGATTTGTACTCTTCTTCTGTCTCCCTCCCTGTCACCTTCCCTTTCTGGTAGGATTCGGCATGACTGTAATATGGGTACACAGTGGGTACTGTTTGCTGGAAGACTTTCCATCCAAACCAGCTGCTGGTTTAACAGTATAGTTTGCAGATGAACAAGGCAAATATCAGTCAATATAGTAACAACAGAAAGTGGTTCCTCAGCTGCTGAAATCATCAGAGCTCTGTTTGAGTTCCCTGCTTCCAGTAAAATAATAGCAACTTTCATCTTCTGAGTCTACTCGGTTTATTAGGCTTGTTATCTTTAAATGGCTATATCTGCTAAAACACTCTTTAAACTGTTCCTTTTCAAAAAAAAATCAGTTTGTTTTTACATGTTACACATTTGCACAAATACAAGATACTACGTATTCTATTAAATCTGGTTGCAGTCATCTATCATAATTTCAGCTAATTCCTGAGTTGTGGGGAGCTTCCACTCTTGCTTACATAGCAAGTCAGACATGAGCAAGAGTTTTAAACTGCACAATTCAAAATCTTACTATGTTTAGTTTTTTTGGTTGGGTGGGTTTGTTTTTCGGTGGTTTTTTTTCCCCTTTTCCAACCTTGTGGAAACAGAAACAGCTAGGAACCATCAGAAATTTGTGATGCAGGACCTTTAGCCTCTGTCAGATTCTAGCTTCTCTTTTAAAGGACTTTTAGTAATTAATTCTTCACATAATAGCTACCCTGAGCTTGTTTCTCCTACCTCAGGTTCTGCTGAGGCAATTCCATTTTGAAGTTCAACTATTTCAACCTCTGGCTTGTTTTGTTCTTCCATAGGAGCGTGGTAGGTCTTTGCAAAATCTAAGAGGAAGTTAAACCATATATTTTCAGTTTTGACTGTTTGACTCTCTCACCATATGACTACACATCTGTACAGGTTTGTTCTCTGATACTTATCTCACAACTGAATGTGGAAAAATATCTTGTTAAAGTTCTTCCTGAGCAAATCTCTTAAAATTCTAACCTCCAGCATCTGTCTTTCTTGCTGATGTTTTACTCTTTGCTGAAAAGTGCTACTGATCTTCAGCCCCCAGAATGCAGCCACTACTATATTAGAGGATGTCAGACTGCGTATAGTGTAACACTTGTGGCAAAAGGTCAACATGGCAAATAGGTGGATTTACAAAGGTTCATTGGCATCTAAATTGCAGACAAGGCAGTAGAATTTACCAAAGCGTACAAGCAGATCCAGAAAACCAGATTACAGTTGAAGTGAGGTACATTCTTGCAAATGTCATTGAAAATCTGTGAATTTTGCTTAGAAACACTATTTTTATATATGGCCGTATGTGATACAGGAACTTAGGTCAAAGGAACCTAAGTTCTGCTTTTAGTTAGACACTTTGGAATTTTTGATTCCCTGTGGCAGTGGTGCTATGAAGTACATGATGTTATTCTGACTGCCACAGAAGGATTCTGTAGACCTATTGCAGTCTTCATAGTGTTGTTTTTACATCCACCTCACTTCTACTCTCCTCTTTGTGTTAGCAGAAGATCATACTGACTACTGACAGTGGGCCAGAAGAGGAGTTAATTGACAGAACCCTCCCTTTGGAAACCAACAATAACTTAGCATCTAGCAATGAAAAAGCGTATAGTCCTGATCTGAGTCTGGCTGACGTGTCACAGAGCAATGGAAATGGCCCAGATGGCCCTATTGACTCTCGAGTGAGAGACCACATAAATAATCGAATTGGTGAGTCTTGCTTTTTTTTTTTTCTTTCTATTGCCTTTTCAATTTTTCAACCATGGGCACATAAAGTCACATTCTGAGGTTATTAGTAAGCTGCAAATTGTCTGAAGCTTCTAACAAATCTAACAAAGATTAAGGCTGAATCTCCAGAACCTTTGACACACTAATTCTGATATATCTATTCATTTCAGTGTAATGCTTTCTTATTTTCACATTTGCCTTGGTCTCTTAGGAAGCTGAGAGAAAAACGATTTGCTCTTCTTACTCTTTTTTATTCCAGAAGATGTAAATTTGCGGAAGAAATTTGAAATCCAAACTATACCAGCTGGAAAATGATGCTGTAATACTTATTGAGAGTTGTACTTCACATGTCTCAAGCTATCATTTTCTTCTCTTGGTTTCACAGCAATAGTTTGAAATATGTCTCCCGTATGTTCCCATAAAGTCTCTGACTGTGGCACAGGGTAGGAGATAAAGTCAGGGAAGGAAGCTTACTCACAGGGCAAGAATTGTTCCCTGAAACACAGTGTACATGAGACATTCTGGCAATATTTCCAAACCCATTTTTGAGGTTATTTGAACCTGACCCTTCCTTACTAAATGCTTTTTTTTTTCTTTTTTTCTTTTTTCTGTGAGTGATGGACTTGGGATCAATGTGATTATTTGACTTACCATACCCAAGTATCTTCAGGCAATTATTAACAATAACTTTCAGTGTCTGATCTGCAGCTTCCTGAATAAAATGGAGTGGTCCAAGCCATAGCAAAGGCCTGATTTACCTTTTTCAAAGGAGTAGGGTCAACAAGTTGGACACTGGGTTCAAGTCTCTTTTAGAAAATTTTGTACTTGATTCTCTGCTGGAAACTCATTTCTTTGTTGATCCTAAGACCACAGATAATTACTCAGAATTTCTGTACAGTCCTGATTGTTGCCCAAAGGCTGCTTTTAGTGCAGGTATTTTTGCTTCTCAAAAGAGCAGGAGCATGAACCTTGGATTCTCTGTATCTGTTTTTCCCAGGTCCCAGTTTGCTGCTTCTAACAGACTCTGGTGAATATTTTACTGCCTTTTCTAATGTGTCTTTATCCTGTAGACCTAGCTATAGCACAGTGGCTTCATACCATGGGAGCTAGGTTTCCTTGATCTATAATGCCCAGAGTACCCTTGACAGTGGTCCAAAACCAGACAGTGTAGTATAAAATGTGCAGGCCTTCTTTATCACTGAGTATGTTCAGTGCTTTGATTTCAAAATTAAAAGCACCTTATAAGTAAACAATTAAATAGGCAACTTATGATGTGTGAATTCAAAAAGTTTTAGTGGGTTAGTGAATTCTGTGTTTTCACAGTGATGGCCTTGATCAGAAAAAGAGAATGGGGGGAAAAATGAGTAACAAATAAAAATTTTGCCTGAAAAGGAACCATCTCTAGGGTCAGCAGTGATCGTTAACTACACTCAGCGCTATTTTTTTCCTCCCCTAGAAACAATATACATCATGAACGCTGACACTGTTATTGTGGGAAACGTTTCAGAAGTGTCTAGTGGCAAGAACTGTGCTGCTAGAGGTTGTGAAAGTAATGTTGATGCCCAGGAGAACATGGAAGAGGAACTGCCAATGCACTATCCAGAGCAGGAAACAGAGTCTTTTCCAGGGAATGATATAATGGTCCCTGTGGAAGAGGAGGGAAAGGAATTTCATCATCCCACCACTGCCACTGAAAAGTGATAACCCACTGGGAAGATGTGTGAAGCTACAGAAACATCCAGTGTGACACTAAGCTTGAATCTATGACAAGGGAGGTAAACTCATAGTGCCTTAGATTATCTGAAAGCTCATGTAGAACACAAACACATTCAAACAAGGAGTGCTAGAACGTATTTCATCTAACAGACAGGAGGATCATCCAAACCACTGGCCTTCATAGCTGATGTCAAGTATTTCTTTCCTTTTGTCTCCCAGTATCATGCTGGAAACAAATTCGAATCAAAGCTACAAAATTCTTGCCAAATCTGGATGCCAAGTCATGTTTCACAGCTTGCTTTCTTTTCATGAAGGAATGGATTGAAAACTACGTCTGATTACTTCTATTAGCTATGAAAATTCTGGCCAGGATTCCAAGTTAAGCATGACACCCAGCCGTGTTTCATGCTGTTTCTATTCTGGTATTACCAGTACTTCCGATTTTGTCCTATATTTTGCAACATTCAGTATTTTTCCTAAAGCCTCAACTCTTGAATAAAACTAATGGCAATTTCAGTTTTTCCTAACACAAACAGCACTCTTAAGTTTGTGGACTTCATGTTTCTTGAGGAAATAGGATCAAAAGGTGTCACACAGGCTCAGAAGACAGAATGCAAATAAAACTATTTGAAGTCCACTGTACTTTAGGCCATTCTTTCTAATTTTTGAAGTCTGATTCATGTTTTTGACTACTTCAGATCATATGTGAGTATACAAATGGCCTCTTCTGATGGAAGCGAAACTGGCTGAGCATTTGGATGTTGGATGTTGGATGGCTAAACTATGGGTTTAGCCCAGCATGGAGTCTGCAAAAAGGGAAAAGAAGAAAAAAACCCTAGTTTTCTACAAAAAGGAAGGACTGTTAAACAGGCACAGCAGTTATTTCCTATAACACTGTTAATATCTGCTTGCTTTAAAATTGCTCATAGTCATCAGGGTGACAAAAAGTCTGTTTTGTGGTCAACTGGCTTGTGTTATGCTATTTCTCAGTCTTTCACGCTGCTTGTTTGACAATTGTAAATGTAATAGTGCTGACTGTGCTTTTGCACAGGACGATGGAAAATGAGCAAGATGACAAAGTGTGTCTTAATAGTTAAAAACAGGAACCACACAAACAGTTACTTGCTTTGTAGTCTTACCCTGGACAGAGTACTGTAATAACATCTGTGCAACTTCAGCGTCTTTTGTCTCAGAACACACAAAAAGAACATAAAGGCATAAAAACCACCTTTTTGGGCCAGACTGGTAGTACGAACCCAACATTATATCTCTTGACAGTCGCAATAAGAGATGTTATTTAGGAGGAGTACATAAGCCTCGTTAACATCTGCTGTTTGCACTCGTCATAGTTCTGGAGCATCAGCTGCGGTTGGATGAAGGTTGTTAAAGAGTTTGTCCCAGCCTTTAGTGTTCTTTCACATTGCTATTGTTTTTTCTTCTCTCTTGAATATCCTGGTACAATCTGCCTCTATAAGCACCTGCGGCAACAGTTTACAGATAGCTACCATTCACTGTGTAAAGAAGTACTTTTACCACTTTTAAACTGACTTCTTTCTTATTTCAGTAAGTGCCACTAGTTCCTGTTTCACAGAATTTATGATTCTTGATTGTACTCTCCTCAGCCTCCAAGCTGAGTTCCTATCTTTTTGTATTTCTCATGTAAGTTAGATCCTCCACTGCCTGGGTCATTTTAATTGACCTCTTCTGCCTCTTTTATAACTTCACTACATTCTTCTGGACATTTGAAGGCCAGAACCACGCACTGCACTGAAGAAGAGGAATGGGGCAAGGTTTTAAATAGTGGCAAAATGATAGTTTCTATTTTGTTCTCAATATGTCTCTAGATGATGCTCACCATTTTGTTTGCTTTTTCTGGCTGCCTCTGCACTCTAGGCAGATTATGTCAGAGAACCATCAAGGACGACTCCAAGATTGCTTTTCTGAGTGATACCTGCTAGACGCCAATGCAGCACCATGTTCCCCTTTTTTTAGATTATTTTCCCCTAAAGTGTATTGCCTTGTGTTTATCTCCATAGAAGCTCATTCGCCACCTTTTTATGAGCTTCTTCTGGCTTTATCTGCGTTCTGTATGTCATGTAATTACCTGGAGAAGTTTAGTATTGCCTTCCCTGTGTGGGTGCTCTTTTCTCCAGATCATTGATGAAGATATTGAATAGAACTGACTCCACTGCTAAGTGTTATCTGTCCTGAAAAATTGCCGTTATGCTGTGCTCTTTCCTCCCTGCCTTTTAAACAGCCATAACTTTTGTATCCTATAACGTTTTAGAAAAATCCATAAAAGACCTTTCTGTCAATCATGTGGCAACTTTGTTTTGCCACCACCTTAAGTGTGGAACTTCATTGAAGGCTTTTTGAAAATCTCTATGTAGTAGGTCCACTGGATCATGTTTATCCATTAAGCCGTTTTGTGGCTGAAGAAATAAATCTAGAGAAATTCGTACTTTTCTGGAACCACAGCCCCAGAGGTGAAGTGGGAGAATCTCGGCATTAGGGGATCTAGTCACTGGCTTCCATCAGTGGATAATCTACCTGTAGTACATTTGAAAACTGGTTGTCATTTCAAGTGTTAGTTTCAGTATTTACTTCCTGAATTCCACTGTTCTGCAAGTCCAGAACATAAAACAATTTCTGAAAACAATTGCTTCCACTGTATATTTTAGCTCATCTACTGAGTCTTGGAAGAGGTGATCAGTGAATCGTTTCTGTGTGCTTCTGTGTTTGTACTTGTTTCGTTCAGGAGATAAGCTGCTCCTAATGCTCAGATGGAAATTTCTTTTGGCTGTTGGTATTGCCATGTCAGCGGCAGTTACATGAGGAGAAGAAGGAAACAGAATTAATACTTTCTGGTTTAAGTGTTTGTTGTGCAACAGAAGGTCAAGGCACCAAGTACTGACATAAAGCAGTAGTGCAAGGAAGAAGAAAGAACTGTGTAGGGCAAGTACTGGTCACCTTTTCCTTACTTCCAGTCAGAGTAGTTCACTGTTTTCCAGTGCATATGCTTAATTTTAGAAAAGTACAGGAAATTCTTTTGAGAATACTGTTTTGTGTATCCACAAGCAGTGAATAACCATGTTCACCTGGCTGTGATCGCTAAAGAATGTTCTGTAATGACAGCTAATTGTATATTTCAGCTCTGTATATAAATTAATCTTTTTTACTGGAACAGCTTTCTACGTGAATCATACGCATTGCAACCTGCTAATTGTATTATAGTTGGCTAGTTTTAAAATGCTGGTAATCTCTGAATTAAAAATTACATTGATTTTAAGCCATATCCACACTTTTCTTGTCTGATATGTAAATATTTCTTTGTTGATAATTTCAGTACTTGTATCAGTTGCAGAAAAAAAAGTATTTTTTGCAGGAGAGCTGTTCAAAACTTACAAAGCTGTTTGTCGGCTAGAGGTTTTCTGGAGAGCAAAGCAGGTCTGAATTTGCATTAAGGTCTCTCTGTACCATCTTGGCAGTGTGTACAAGAGATGAGTGAGCACGGTGCAGCGGTGCGGTGGGTATTAATGGATGCTAGAACGCTGCAAAAGGTAAGTTCCTATTCGGGGGCTAAAGGAGCATCCATACGACTTGGCATACGCCAAGAGTCTCTTTTAAGACCCTTGAAGCAACTCTTCTCTCCAGCCAGCAGCCACCACCGCTGTCCAAGCTGGGAGGTCGCGGTCCTGCTCGCAGGTAACGCTGTCCCGGGGGGGCCCAGCTCGGCCGCCGCCTGCCCCG